GGAATATGACTGTGAATATGGTTAATTATTGTTAAAAAAGCAAGTTTCGAGACAACCAAAACAAGTCTCTGGAAGTCGCGCACGGAAACACTTGCTTCTTTAAACAATAATTAACCATATTCACAGTCATATTTCTCAAAGACTAAAAGGGATCCTTTTCTGAAACATAGACTAGCATAGTGTACAACTCGTGCACTTTAAACTAGTATAAAAGATGGAAATGGGTCTATTCTAATTAGTGTAATGTTAGTTCGCGAAGTTGGTGCAATACGAAATAAGTTTACAGTGAGCACTCGCCTCGTTGAATATAAAAAAGATGAACATTTGATGAAAATATAAATTTGTTACTTACACAGAAAAATGTCTGCTCTTATAAAGATGTCTGTTAAAAAAAACGAACACATTGAAAGTATATATATGCCGATGTATGTATCAACAATACAATCAAAGAAACCGAATTATACAAAATAAAATAAAATAAATTAGAATTTAAATTCTATAATAGAGGAATAATTGGGGAATAGAGGAAGAACGGAATAGAAGAATGACAGAGGAATAAGAGAGGAATAGTCGGGGAATAGAGGAATAGCGACCGGCCGACTGAAATACATTTTGAAACATTTAGTGGTAAGTATTTCGATCCACGGTGCACAGTTAGTAAGGCAACCATTAAGCAATTAGGAACTTTTTCTGGATACGATATTAAACGTGGTGCGAGATCTATGGAAGAAGGTGACAACGAGATGAAAAAGTAAGGTTATAGATATATCTTACTATAGATATAATTCTTAATTTTTGTATGTATCATAAAATTTACCAGAATTTATGAGTTTAGAGCAGAAAATAAACGTCAGTACGGTTATAAAAGATATCCGATATATTTGGTAATCGATTTAGGTAAACTGCCAAATACCAGATATGAGCAAAGTTATATATCAGATTCATATCTCATTTAGTTTTCAAGATGCGCGTCCTGATTTATTCCATTTTGATCAAAATCAAAAGATCAAAAGATATTATTTTTTAATGATTCTGTTTAATCTTCTATTGTTTCTGTCATGAGAGAGTTCTATTACTGGTCGTAGATAATCTCAATATTGATTGAACTCATTCTGGAAGCTTAAATGTTTCTGATTTTCATTTTAGGCAGGTATAAAATTTGAAATTAAAAATAGTAATCTAGAATTAGAAGGAAGATGCACGAATGGAATGCAGCGTTAGTTTTTTAGGGATATACCATTAGGACGTGTGCTTTATAACAACCCACAACAAACTTTAGATATTATGCAGCTATTACAAAATTTTTATCAGCTATTAAGTTTATATTCCGAACGTCAGTCAAGTCAACATTCTTTTATCTATCTAAAACAAGCATCAGTTATGTGGGTTAAACAATTTGGTAGTACATTTGGTGATTTATATGTTACACCTTACATGCACGTATTATCTGATCATATGTCCGAATTTCAAGAAAAAGACGAAGACGATGAACTGTCATGTTTTAATCTACAACGAGCTGAAAAGTAGAACGATTTAAGTACAACAGATTATTTTCGATCTACGAATAAGCATCATCACTCATTAGAACAAATGATTAAAAAGCAATTTCAACAATATTATGTATTATTAGACACAAATGAAACTCAAGCTACTGACATCAACTCGACTTTTAGTAACACATTCAACGATACGAACTCGATTTATATTAATCTACATTATCAACGAACGTAATTTTTAATGCAAATTTTATCATTTCGTGTCGGCGGTTTTTTCTTCTCTCATACGTCTTAGTTGTTGCACTTTTCAGTATATTCGTACTTAAATTCTTTAGAGAGATAGCGCTTGTATCGAAAACTGAGAGCAAATCAAAAGGTGCGATGCGATTACAAAGAACAAGAACTTCTGCGGAAATAATTGTTTAGCATCATGCTATGTTACTTTTAAGATTGTCTTGACAGCAGAAACGTGACGAGTCTTGAGAAATGTTCGTGCGACAAGTTTGATCTTTTGCTTTTAAATGAACAAGTCTCACCAATATAATGATCATCCCATGAACACGGAATATTATATACACTATCTTAACCAAAATTTACACTCTTAGTCATAAACACAATCTTTTACTTCGATTTTCTTTGCTTTATTTAGATGCAGATGAAGCAATGAAGCTGAGTAAGAAATTTAAAAATATACACTATAATATAACTTGTTTTTTCCCCTGTATGTAAAACTTTATTATATATATATACTAGCGGAGGTACCCGATGTTGGTCGGAATATCTACCTATGGGTAACTTCACATGTCAGAAAATGAGAGGGATTGTCGACACGGCTGTGCTTGAAGGTTTCGCATCTATCACCACAACATGTCCCGCAGTGCATACCCGAGATAGGCAGCTGCGACTATAGAGCACGCCAACTCCGCTCCAAATCTATTCCTGTTCCTGCAGATCCCACTCTTACTCCAGCTCCAACTCCATCAATCTAACGCTGCACGTCAGATCCACCGCTTTTTTTCACAGATTCCGCTGCAAAATGTATCGTTTTCTTTAAGGTCTCACTCCGGATCTACTCCTGTTCTTACAGATCCCGCTGCACAGTCCACCCTTTCCCACAGATCCTGCTGCAAAGTCTATCGTTTTCCGGAAGGTCCCACTCCAAGTTAACCACCTTTTTTTTACAGATCCCGCTGCAAAATCTACCCGTTTTCTTGCAGATCCCACTTCAACTCCAACTCCGGTTCATCTAAGACCTAAAAAAGCGTCAACTCGGGGTTAAAATTGCTCATCTATCGTGCATAGACTCACACCCACGCTGAAGCGCGATTGTTCAGCAGATATCGTGTGGATGTGAGTGTCTTGCTTCTTACTTATCCTACTTCCGTGTATCACACGCACACCATCGCGAACACATAGTAGTAGGTGGAGACTCTTAAAATCGGTGACAAATACCGTTTACGCAAACTGGATGAAATTTCACCTAACTTCCCTCTCTACCACCATCCTCGGCTATTGATACCCCATCGCGACCCTCCTCTGGATCAATAGGTTAGCCATAGAAAGTTGGATGACACCAGCTATCACAGGAACCCAAAAATTACAATTCCTCAAACCTGGGTGAAATCTCATCCAGCCCTCCTCCCCCTCCCTTGGTCGCGTCAACCCTCTCTCGACCTTCCTCTGGACTCAGGAGAATGCCACGGAAAGTTTGATGACGTGATCTATGAGATGCACGAAAAAGTGACAGTTCATGAAACCTGGGTGGAATCTCCCCAGCACCCCGTGGTCGCTCCAACCCCATGGCGACCTTCCCTGGACCTTGGGTATTATCATGGAAACTTTGGTGACGCTAGCTATCACAGGGACCGAATGCATTGGCGATAACTGCAGCTTTTCATCACCAGAGTAAAATTTCACCCAGCCCCCCTCCCGCAACCCCCGATGGCCGCGCCAACCCCCTCTCGACCTTCCTCTGGACCCAGGGAAGTACTGTGGAAAGTTTGGTGATGCTAGCTCTTATAGGGACTGAATGCATAAAGAACAAACAAACAAACATACAAACAAACTTTCTTCTTTATATATATAGATAGATTAACTGATAACAAAATTCTATGCGAATGTTTTAAGAACACAATAATCATACCACCTTTTCTTTATCATGTGATCAATGACTTTGGAGAAATTTAATGAAACGTGCGTAGTTCCTAGTCCAAAGATTGATTAGTAAAAATTGACGTTTTGGGCAAGTGTAGTCCTAAAACTAGCCAGAAGTAAATACAATTAATGAAGCAATTTTAAGGGCTTCTGTATTGTCAGTCCAAATAAAATTATGCAAATAAATACTCGAGATAAACTGTGGTTCACCAATACGACGATTAAGACAAAATACAGGTCGATCCTTCTCTTTATATAAAAACTGCGCTAAAGTCTGTACACTACAAAAACAGATATTTGTTAAGTGTAGAATTATACGAATTTGCAGGCGTGCGAGTGAAAAATAACTTTAAAAAAAGAATAAATCCGCCACAAAAACATTCTAAGGTAGAAATAAAACAAATCAAGATACCAGTGCTACTTGCTATTGAAACAAAAATTGGATGTATGATAATAATAAAAAAGCAGAGATTTTAAATGAATTTTGCTAACATTCGTATAGTGGATATAAATGATTGAAATAAAACAATCCCACATGCCATTAGCTAGATCATAATTTGACATCACAGATATAAATAATGTTAAAATTTTCAATAAAAGGTAGGCACAATACAAAATTAAAGCAAATTTTTAAATTTATTATACATCGTTGGATAGAGCTCATCGAGCTGATTAGAAAAATGTATTTTTTAATTTTTTAAATATTTTTTCCATGTCGAAAACTTGGAGATCCGGTCTCTGGAAACCCTCTTAAAAACCGTTTTGGAACTTTATAAAGCTTCTTTTTGGAATTAGCGTACACGAAAACCTACAGAAAAATTTTTTATAGACCTCTCGGCTGCTGTTAAAACACATTTTTTTAGGCCAATTAAAAATTTTCATCGCTACAGCTTTTCACAGGCAGGGTTTTGACAAAATCCAGATATACCGGCAGAAAATTTTTGATTCATACATCATTCGATTCAGTCTTTCACGCTGATTCCGAATATGTATATATTGTTCCGAAAAAATTGTATTTGAAGTGAAAAAATTGGTTTTTACCTCAGAAACCTGGATTTTTGGAAAACCAATATCTCAGCCCAGGAAAATATGCGTACTTTTGCACATTCACCATAGATGCATGGCCTCGCGAGGAACATTTTGGTATAAAAATATGTTAGTTCAGATCTGCGCTAAGCTGCGCGTTCTCAAAATAACGGAGAGAGCCTTTACAGCCTAGGCCGTTTTCGAAAGAATCCATTCCAAAACTCTTAAATTTCACTCGAAAAACGAAATTTTTTTTTATTTTGTATTTTTCTGACTGTGTTCTTTCCGAATATGATCTCGGTTCTATTCTAATTTACTATCCTTCAATAAAAATCGAAATTTTTCGAAAAAATAGCGCATTTACATGGTGTTTTTGCATTTCAAATCTTTTATAGAAGGAAAAGTCGTAGAATAAAAATTCTTTCGTCATTAAATCGGCCGTCATTCGAAGTATATGAAACACTATTTAAATTACCAAAAAGC